TAGCAAATGCTACATGAACTACATAGAGCCAGAAAGCCAACCTACCCACCATTAAATACTTGTGGTGCTACAACATAAACTAGCACTCCTTCTGCAAGCAGAAGAGCAGGTCATACATTTGCACCTGCTATATGTAACCATTATTGTTTCCTGTTATTTTATACTTCAGGCACAGCTACAGTAATTAGCAAATGTATGTAAAACCAACACAACTGCTGCTTCCTGCTGATGTTTAACCTGGAATACTAGGCAAGGAACGTCTGCTTTACCTCATGCACGTTAATTAGATCTGGGAATAACGTTAGCTTCACTTGCTGTTAAAATTCTATTTGTTTATACTGTAATTAGGTTTATTCAGATTGTGATTTATGTAGAAAATTTAGCATGTATGAGAATTAGCCTGGAGAGAAAAAAATTGTTGGTCACAGTATGGAGAGGGAAGGCTATGGATGAGCTTTGGGTTTGGGTCAAGGTGGGGTTCAAGGCCGGTCCAACCTGTTTATAATTCACAGACATGGCAGACATGGCGGACATGGCGGACATGGCAGCTGATCATAGCCATAGCAACCAACTACCAATTATGTACTTCCTGGTCTCTAAACTTAGGTCAGGTGGCTTAGAATGGCCAATAATGGAACCTTTTTTATTTGCCAGCCCCTCAAGATAAAAAGGGCAGGGTTCCCAGCAGCTATATTGACAATGTGTGATAGGGAAATCATAGTGATGCTGATACAGTCCATTGGGACAGATTAGTGGATTAGTGGACGGCTTGTAGGCAGTGGTGATTTAAAGTAGCCGTAAATCTTTACCAAAATGCTGTGTAACTTGGGGACTTCAGGGGTGGGAGGGGGAAGGATTTTACATGCATCAACACACAAGCCCATTTTTTCTTTGAGAAGGCATGTGACACGGTGATTTGCAGTCAGGAAATTGTTGAAAATAGGGGCAGAGTGTTGCCACTCCATAACATAAAATGGCCAAACAAGGATCTTTATATCAGTATCACCAGCTGTTGATATTTTAATAGTTATGTTCGCATCTACTTTAACAAACTATGATTAAGTTCTTTGAATTGTAGAGCTGGGGTACACAGTTACACTGCCTATGTGCACAGATCTGCACACCTAAAAATCTTTTAAAGAATGGACAAATATATAACTACAATAATAATTGATAGCTAGGTCTTTAATTGTCAACATCTTATTTACTTTAAAAAAAATTATAGATATTTAGGTAAGATTAAATTAGATTATAACATTAAGCTTGGGGTGATTAGCGTGCATCAGGCAGTTGTTACTGACAGTCCATTTAAGAGCTTATTTTTTCTGCATTTTTTGAAAGCAAAAACAAAAGAGCTGTGTGCGCCTAAGCCACCTCTAATTACATAACTCACAATCCAGAACTAAATAAATAGTTTTGGCTTCAGTTGCACTTTAAGTACAGTAAGTAATATGGGTTACAATGTGCTCCTAATGTAGTTACATAGTTACATAGTAGGGGTTAAAAAAAGACAAGTCTATTGAGTTCAACCTATAGAGATGTAGTGTTAAACTACAAATGTAACTACAAAATAAAATATTATTTTGCTACTACAGAATTAGGTTTTGCCAGAGAATTGGCTTAATTCTTCACATCGACAATTGGTTTCTGGTTTTAGCTAACCTATTTGTAATTATAAGAATGGAAAATCAAAGCAATACAATGGAATAGAACAAAAGAATAGTAAAACTAAAACTAAGTTTGGAAATTGTGACTCAAATGTGCCATCAAGTGGTAGCTTATGCTAAAGACGGCCACCAAGGCTTAGCGTTTGGTCCAGTTACTGATGTCGTTCTAGAAAGCCTGGGATTAAATAGCAGAAGCAAGTTACTGAAAAATGTCAGTGGCGTCACTAGGAGGGTGCGGCCCGCACCCGGGTGACACCTTTGGAGGGTTGACACCAAAATGTTTTATTGTATGGAGTCTGTGATTAACATCCTTTTTTTTTATTTAATGTATAGAAGTGTTCATTGTGTTGGCACTTTATAAATAAAGCATAACCACTGATTCCAGAATCAGGAGAATAGCCCAAAAAGATTGTCAGCAAAGGCAAATTAAATTGTTTTTGTTTTCACAGAATCACTCTAAAAACCCAAGTGACACTGAAGTATTAATACTCAATTTAAAGAAAACCTGTCACCACATCCTACCGTCACATATAAACGCAAGATGACAATCTGTGTTAGGTGTACTTACAGAAGACCTACCTGCTGCAGAAATTTTAGAGTTCTATGCAAAGATATCCACCCCATGATTCAGCCAGAAAATTTACACTGATTGTTGGATTGTGAGACTTCTGGGCCATCTCCTCACTGACCTCAAGATCGGCACTGAAAATCACTGCATAGTAAACAGATGACTGCCGGCTTACAATGCAATGGCTTTTAGTGTCAATCTTATGAGTTTTATGTTCACAGCACCAACACTGTGATAAATTTGGGGCGGGAGAGGGCACTATAGGTGGCCCAGATGTCTCATAATCTGAGGTGTCAGTTTTCTGTCTGAATTGTGGGGATGACATTTTTGCTTAGGAGTCTTAAACTACTGCAGCAGTCATTGCTTCTGTAAGCACTCATTGGGGCAATTGATTACTCATTGCCTGGCTATGTTTAATGTTAGGATGACGCAATTTTAAATAGGATAGAGAAGGGAAGAATTAGAATTTCAGATTTGTATTGCTATGTGACATCAGTCAGAAAGCAAATCTGAGGACTTGTATGATGCAGGTTATATACATCTGTGAGCAGACAATTGACAAAATGTCTTAAGGTGGCCATACACTTTACAACCATCGCAAGACCTTAGTCTTGCGATGGTTGTAAAGTAATTAAAAATACGTACGATCTGCCCATCTTGGACAGGCAGATCGTACTTGTGATCATCGCAAGCCCGCCCCACTGAGGGTTGGGCTTCCGATGACTGCAATCCTGAACGGGCAGTGTGCGCGTGCGCACACGGGCCCGTTCGGCATTTGTCTCCCGAGCATCATCAAACCAGCCTAAAATCGTAAGACTTTCGGCTGGTGTTCTAGCATGCTCCTTAGACAAAAGACGTGCGACCGTACAGTAGAAACGGTCGCACGTCTTCATTTCCCGCGATTCTCGTACGAGAATCGTGCAGTGTCACTGTTTCGCACATTATATCTTTTAGGTTTTGCAGTTTACCTTAACATATTATACATTGTTTTTCCCGGGACAGATAGGGCTTTAATTTGGTAGCAAAAAAACAAACAAAACAAAACAAACAAACAAAAAACAAATAAATGTAAAGAAATGTATTTTTCTATACATAATTTGCACACCCTCATATTTGTATCCCAAAATGTAATCAAGTCTGCTGATTAAACTTATATTACATTAGTGCGCCTTTTATGTAACATAGCAGAATGCTAAAGCTCAAAGTGTACAAATACATTTTTCTTTAAGAGATCTTTATGCATGCGGGGGGGAATGGTTTGCATAAATTGCTAGCCTAAAATAGTGTGTTTGTAGTAATATGTTGGTGGCTTATTTTCTGTCAAATAAATACACAATATAGACTCCTACTGTTCTATAACACCACATACAGCTTAACGCTTTTGCTGTCACCAATGTATGTCAGACATCGCTGGCAGCCGGCCCCTTTAACCCTCCCAGCGACTCTGTTTACATGTGTATAGCCGACTGTCAGCTTTATGCTGGAAGCGATTCTGGTGGCTGAGCTGCTGCCAGATCCTTTCCGGGGCCAGTATAGAGTGTCCCCCCCACCTGACACCCCCGCCTTGCTTCCCAGGCTCCGCTTCCCCTCCTGCGGGCCTGGGACCAGCATCCTGGGTGTCGGTGGAAAGCAGGGAATGAGACTGGCAAACATTCGTTTGCCGTTCTCCTCCCTGTGGAATGGTACCGGAACCGATGCGGATTGCCTCACTTTCGGTCCCTCAGCTGTCATTGTTCAGCTGCATAAGCCAGGCAATAAGCTATTGGAGCGCAATCTGTGCTCCAATAGCTTATTTGGAGTGGAAAGCTGTCTTATTGACCCCTTTTTGGCATTAACCTTCACCTGGTGTTTCTGCCAGTCACATAGTTCCAGCTCTAGTGTGACAACGCTCACTCATTGTAATGTATCTTTTGAGGAGGAGTAGCGTTGTCACCATTGGAAAGGAAGAAAGGACTACAAAACATCTCCCCTTCTCCAAGACATAGGTAAGAGGTGTGCTATAGTCCACAGAGAAAAATCAAAACACTGCTAACTGATAAGAATGTAGATAAGTGTATAAGAAGTTACCATCTCAAGCTTTGTTTAGTAGGATCAACAGGTATTTTTTAGCACTTATCGCACACATGCTTTTTGTTGAAAATACATTCAACTGTATATTTCACAGACCAAAAGAACATAAATAAGAGACGTTCATTGTCAGGGTTTAAATAAGTAAGAGATATGGTCTCTGTAAATGTTATGTATTTAATATAGTGCTAAGTACTACATAATATAGGAACTAAACCCTAAAATTCATGACTGAAAGAACTGCCTGTGTGTATTTATTGTCATTGGCCTTATATTTTTTTTATGACCAATACAAAAAAGTAAGAAGCTGATTAGTCACGTGTTTTTTTTTTTTTTTTTATATAGATAGTTTTGGTTTTAAATATTTTTTATAGTAATGTTTGTGAAAAACATTATGTGGAGGTGCAATATACATGTGATCATGCAAAATGGGGAACATTTTAACTTCAAGTACACCAGAGGCTAAGACTGGATCATTCTTTCAGATCAAACATTGAGCTCTCTTGTAATACACAAAATAGAATTCACACAGCCACGCATATGCAAAACTTTGAGATTTTAATGTCCTTATCTTTCATCTATTCACAAAAATGGATAAAGAATGTATTTTTGCCAGTCCCTTTCTAATTGCACTGGCAAGACAGAATAAAGAAAGTCTTATCAAACAGGGAGCCTTTATATTGTCACAGACCAGCTCACCCTGCAGCTGTATCTGAGAAACCTCAGGTAATCTATGCATAAAATTCATTAGAAAACCATGTTGGTCGTTTTTGTTTTCGCTCAATAATCCTCTTCCCTTCATCTTCTGAATGTAGCTTTTCACCATCATAGAGGACAACGGTTTCCACTGTAGGAGAACTGAAAGGTCCACCTTCTTTAGCTTTTATTTCTTGCCTAATAAGATGTGTTTCACGTTGAACCTTCTCATAGCAAAATCCACATAGCACATGTTTCAGTTTCAAATGGCCACATTCGGGACACTGATCAATGTTGTTCTGCAAAAAATTAAAGATGGTTATTGAGTTAATGTTATCAAGGTGGCACAATATATGTGAACTGCCTCTTGTATATACTTGTACATCCCTTAACACACCATTACTCAGAGCAAGATAAAAAGGTAAAGCAAACTCATAGTATACCTAATCTGCTACAGACAGATACCACAGCAGTGCTGGACATATTTTATTTTTTGATAATTCTGTTACAATATGTTGTGTATACTTCAATTTTCACATGTAATTATTGATTAAACTTTGTGGATTTAGGTAATAGTATTGTAACGAAGTCTGAGCTGCATCAATAACCGGCAAGTTATATATAGCATTCATGTAGATAGCCTCCATTTGCATTGGGCCAATTGTTACAATTTGTATTTTTCTGTTCTAAAATGGTTTTTGTAATCTAGGCAGGTACAAATCATGGTTAGGTAAGAGTTAATTTGGTCATTTGACCGGTCTGTGCATTGCTGTGCCTCTACCGTTTGAGGAATTCTGTGATGAAACACGTTGGGCGGAGCTATGGGCACGGTAATGTCATCATGCCAATGGGATGCATGCACATAGCAGGTTAAGATGCGATATGCAGCTCCCAAAAACAATTACTTATTTAACCCAACGATGTATGCAATACTTTGCTGGCAGAAGGCCCCTGTGAACGTACTTCCTGCAGCTATCGCCACATTGACTCTATTTAGTTGTGTAAAGCAGACAGTAGTTGGCTTTATACTGGAAGAGATTCTGGAGGCTGAGCTGCCGCCAGATCGCTTCTAGGGGCTTGTGCAGAGTGCCCATTCCCACTCAACACACCCTTGCTTTCCTGCTTTCCATGCTAGTCATTCACTGGCTTCAAGCGAGAAGGGGAAAGGTGACATTAGTCACCACTAATATACTATCACATAGAAGGCTTGTGAGCGCTCCTATAGAATAGCAATGAAGTAGGAAATATTACGTTTTATAAAAAAGTTAAATAAAATAAATGTAAAAATTAGGGCTGCGGAAATTAACTATTAATCGTAAATTTTTTTGATCGATTAAAATGTTTTTCATCGGTACTCACCTCTCTGCCGGCTTCCGGGAGTTCCGGTGATGTCACGGACATCGACGTCACCGGACTCCTCCCCCAAGTGGCACGGTCGGCTAACGAAGGGAAGGGGGGAGGAGTACGGTGACGTC